CTCCCCTCCCAGGCAGACCCGTGCCGCCCCCGGTCACTCACCGGCCCCCTCCCCCTGCAGGCCCCGGCGACTGCCCGCCCCCGCGGTTGGTTTGGTTTCGTTTCGAAACGAAGTTCCGAACGGGCAGACTCAGGAGGAGCCAGGCCCGTGCTCCTGACGTGTTTCCGGAAACCGGTACCGCCGCAGCCACGTGACACGGAGGGGGAGGCGGTGGCTACGATGGCGCGCGGAGAGATCCCCCTCCTACCCCCAGTCAACCAAGAGTCATGTGACCCCGGGAATTGTGATCGCGGACGGTGCGGAGGAGAAGGAAAGGAAGCGCAAAGAACGCCTTCGCCCTCGTGACGTCATACAGGGCTCCCATGGCAACTGCTCTGTTAGGAGAGGGTTGGTAACACAAAGCCTTAATTTACCCGCGGGTATTGTGCAGCAACTGGTCCGACCTGGTGGCCTAATATAATACGTAACTGAAATTCAGTTACAGATTTTCTATTACGGAGCTATCCGGCAGACAAGGCCACTACTGTTTCTTTTTTTAAAGTAACTTTATTAAATATCATAATTACAATAGTAAAAACTAACACAAATTAAAGGAAAGTTGGAAGGAAGGAAGGAAGGAAAAGAAAAGAGAAAGGAAGGAAAGAAAGAAAGGAAGGAAAGAAAGAAAGAGGGAGAAAGATGGATGCAAGAGGGAAAAAGGGAAAGAGGGAAAGGGAATAGAAAAGAAAGAAAAAATGTAATAAAGAAAAATATATAAAAAAGAAGTGACTTCCAGTCTTCATCATAACAAGTATAACAATTTTAGTGACTTATCACCTTCTCTCAAAATACAACAAATGATCTCTTTGTCCCATATCCCATCTCTTGTCTATAAACAAATAAATAAAACCTCGTCATTTTAGTCCTGATGTCAGTAAAAGTCCATTAAGGGTTACCAGAAATAACAACATATCTATTTTAACCTTGTTCAAATAAATCAACTTTATATTCCTTCCTTTTACTTCTAACAATCTTAATCTTTAGTCCATTCAAATAATGTTATAGAACTGAATTTCTTTTCATTAGTTCTCACAAGATTCTTTAAAGCTTTAAGAAGTCTGTTTTGTAAGTCCAAAATAGAAAAATTATCCAGGTCACTCTCTTGGTTTATTGTTGGTATGTCCCTTTTAATTATTAAGATATGAACCGGTTTCTTTTGTATGTCCAGCGTAACATCTTTTTCCATATCATTCTTGTAGCCTGTCATTTGTAAGTCCACTTTCAACTCAGCCTGTGTCTTGTCAGGTAAAACTTGCTCCTCTTCCATAATATCTTTTAGACAGTCTATCCATAGAGACAGAAAGCGCTGTTGATGTTGTTAATATTAATTTCTGACTCCATTGTTTGTTTCTCGATCCACAGCTTGAAAACTACATTTCCTGACCATATACTGTAACATCTTTAGCTTGAGTTCAAACTTTTCTGCAAACTCTCCTTCACTGTAGTCAGGATGCATAACAGACGTTTGTTTGCTGTATCAGATTTCAGGACTTGAATAGTACTACGAACAACAAGAACAACAATAAAGACAACTCAAGGCTGTTCTGGCTGGTGGCTGATCATCCAAACCTGTGTAACACTGTCTTGCCGCTGGCCACCTCACCTTCAGGACTAGGGACTGACATGGAGTGTTATAGAGACCCCAGATTAATTGACCCCATTTGATCTTCCATCATTTATTGACCAAATATTGACACCCCCCCAGACATTTACTGACCCCCTTTTGACCCCCAGACATTTATTGACCCCTTGAATAGTTCCATCAACCCTTTGGGGAGGGTTCCACTTTGGGGAACCCTGGGTATCAGAATCCTCACAAGATTTAATAGTAGATTTTAGTGTTGGCTAGTTTGGTATTTGCTATTTTA